CACACACACACACACACACACACACACACACACACACTCACTCACACACACACACACACACTCACAGACACTCACAGACACAGACACACTCACCTCCCTGTCCCCCCTCCCTCCCTCCCTCTCTCTGCCTCCTCCCTCCCTCTCTCTGCCTCTACTCTCGTAGTCTGCCAGCAAGGACGACAAGTCGCCCGTGACCGTGGCAGACTTTGCTGCTCAGGTATCGCAGACTGTATGTGTTTGCTGCCCTGCGCCAGACGCACTCCGATCCTTCCATCCAAACAACTTGGCGACGTGCTGTTCATCTGTGCCCGCTTGACGTGAAAGCTTACCTACCAACGGCGTCATCGCGCGTTGCTCTCCTTCTAGGCCATCGTGAACAGCGAGCTGACGGCTGCCTTCCCTGATCTGCCCATCGTGGGAGAGGAGGTAAGGTTGGCCGCGTTTGTTGGGCAGGGTACCGGGACTGTGGGCAAGGCAGTCGGGTTGTGACCATGGCATATTGCATCCAACGCCATACCCAGAACACGGCGGCATTCACTCAACCGCCGTGTGTACATGAACCGCTTTGACATGATGTGACATGATGTGACATGATGTGACGGCAGGACGCAGGCGCACTGCGTGGCGACGACGAGACGTCGGCATCCCTCCGCGCCAAAGTGGTCGATGCAGTGCATCACGTCAACAGCGCCGCTTCCCAAGATGCCATCCTCGCGGCCATCGATCGAGGTACTGTAGTGCCTGTGTGTCTCTGTGTGTGTGTGTCTGTGTCTGCCTGAACTTGCGTTTGTACCCGTGTCTTTGTCTCTCTCTTCCCCTCTCTCCGTGCGTGTGTGCTGACAATGCATCCTGTTCACGCCCATGTTTGTTCGTGTGCATTTGCGTGGCGTCAGGCAACCACACGGGCGGACCCAGCGGCCGCTTCTGGGTACTCGCAATGAACACAGCAGCTGCAGTACAGAGTGCCATGTGTGTGTGTGTGTGTGTGTGTGTGTGTGTGTGTGTGTGTGTGTGTGTGTGTGTGTGTGTGTGTGTGTGTGTGTGTAACACGCGTAGCACACGAGAACAAGGGGCTCATGCAACTGGCATTGCTTGTCACTGCCTCACCCCATGCAAACCATTCCTCCTTCCCACCGCCATCACCAATGGCACCACTTCCCCCACAAAACATATACACATCAGGCCAAGTACGCTGCGCTGTCGCGTGGTGATGCCGACATCTACCTTCGCCTCCCTCGGCCGAGCAAGCGGTACGAGGAGAAGATCTGGGACCACGCTGCCGGCGTCGTTGTTGTGGAGGAGGCAGGTGGTCGTGTCACGGATGTGTTTGGCAAGGATCTCGACTTCTCCCGTGGACGCACGCTCAAGGACAACACAGGTTAGAGCGACGTTCTGCATGTATGTGTATGCATGTGTATGTGCGTGTATGTGCGTGTGCATACGTTCGAGTGCCGCATGATGTGTCTCTCGCCTGCCAACCTCATTACCACGTTGCTCCTCTTTCCCCTCCTGTGCTTGCTGCAGGTGTGGTTGCGTCCAATGGCGCCCTGCACGACGCAACCATCGCCCAACTTGCACAGCACATGCAGCAGCCGGCAGCCGAGTAGACCCAGGCACATGCCCGCCAGACACACAGTTGACCTGCTCCGTTGATGGGTTGATTTGTTTGTGTGTGTTGCGACTTGGTTCGTGTTGTTCCACAATTTCGTTTGTGGATGTTTGCTCGTGTTGCGCTTTACTTGTACACCATCCAATACAACAGTCGGAGGGAAATCAACACAACAGCAGGCGAGACCCGACGCCAGCGTGCTGTGACGTGAGCGCTGGCATCGCTGATCAGCAAGGGGGTTATTGGGGTCCATACACATCACATGAAATCATCACCATACAACACAACACACGCCCTCACCTGGCAACAGCAACAACAACGAAGGGGGGGGGGGCAAGTCAGCAGTGACAGCGACACCAGAAGCAGCGCGTGAAGTGCAGAGCAGAATCAAAGGGGGAACGAATGGTCGGTCCTCTTTACTTCTGGTTGTACACCGTGTACAGATCACACCCGCGCACGTTGTTCGTCTCCTGCAGTATGAGTGAGTGAGTGAGTGAGTGAGTGAGTGAGTGAGTGAGTGAGTGAGTGAGTGAGTGAGTGAGTGAGTGTGTGTGTGTGTGTGTGCGTTTGTGTGTGAGTACATGCGTTTGCACAACGGAAACAACAGGCACGACAGGAATGCAACGAGCAGCCGCCCGTGGGAGCAAGAGGGCACTGCACGGCACCTCAATGTGGATAAACTTGGTGAGGAGGTCCTGTGACGTGGGCGGTGCAGCAAGTGCTTCGTCTGCCTCCGCCTTCACGGACGCACGAATCTCCTTCTCTGCCGCCTGTGTGTGAGAGAGAGAGACGCGGGGTGGGTGAGACACGAACACAGTAACACACACACACACACACACACACACACACACACACACACACACACACACACACACACACACACACACACACACACACACACACACACACACACATACATACACACACACACACACACCTTGAGTTCGTCCTCTGTGGCGAAACCGGCCTCGACCATGTGGTTGCGGAAGAGAAGAATCGGATCAAAGGTCGTGCGCACCTTCTTGATGTCGTCGCGCCTGCACGCACAAACACACACATACACATGTACATACACATGTACATGGTGGTGTGTAGGCATCAGCGTGAGACATGAAGATGTCACATCGCATGCACACACACACACTCCCTCTCTCAAAGCTTCAGATGTTCATACAACATGCACACGCACTCCCTCTCTCGAAGCTTCAGATGTTCATACAACATGCACACGCACAGTTTCACAAGCACACACACACACACATTTGCAAACAAAGTACGCACGTGCGGTATGTGGTGTCGGGGTCGCTCATGCTGTGGCCGTGGTAGCGGTACGTCTCAACCTCCATCACCAGCGGGCCCTGCACGCAGCAGGCAGACAAGGCAACATTGAACGCGCGTGGGTTAAAGTGAGTGTGAGCGTGGGCATGGGTGCGGGTGCGCATGCGAGGTTGACGTAGAACTGCGAAACAGCGCGCACAACCCATCGTACGTTCTTGCTGGCGTACTCCGAGGCCCACTTGGTCGCCTCGCGCACGGCAACAATGTCCATGCCATCAACCTGTTCACACACACACACACACGCACACACAAGGTTAGATGATACTGAAGACTACGTGCAGATGCCTACCAATCGCCACGATTGCACCCATGCGCTCATGCGCCAATGCACCCATGCACCAACGAACACACCACAGCATCAATGCACCAGCGACAGCCATCATGGCGACATGCATACCCAGATGCCTGGAACGTAGTCGCCACGCGTGTAGTAGTCGACAGAGGCGGCAGCGCGGGAGGCGCTTGTGCCCATACCGTACTTGTTGTTCTCGCACACAAACACGCAGGGGAGGTTCCACAGCTTGGCCATGTTGTATGCCTCAAACACCTGGCCCTGGTTGGCGGCGCCGTCACCGTACATGGTGAAGCACACGCCGTTGTCGTTCGCGTACTGGTGGGCGAGCGCAACGCCTGCACCAACGGGAACCTGCAATCAAATACGTTGGTGTTGGTGGTGTTCGGGAGGAGATGAGATTTGGAGGAGAACGAGTATGCTGGAAATGCGTACGTACACACGTTGAGAACGTATATGCAGACACACAAACACACACAAACACACACACACACACACATACACACATACACACACACACACGCACATACGCAGCACGTGAGCGCAATGAGCAAGAGGGTGAACCATTAACTGACCTGGGCACCGACGATGCCGTTGCCGCCATAGAACTTGTCGCCGTAAAAGTGCATGGAGCCACCAAGACCCTGGGATGCACCAGCAGAGTTGCCTGGACACAGGGCACGGGGAGACACAGGGAGAATGGACAGCGCGTGTGAGGGACGACAGTTGGAACGATGTTCGCACACACACACACACACACACAAACACACGCGCACATGCACGCACGCACACACACACAGTGCATGCATGCAAGCATTGCAAGCAGCATATGGCGCACCAAAGAGCTCGGCAAGGATCTGCTTGACGCTGTAACCGTGGCAGTACGCCCAGCCGTGGCAGCGGTAGGCGGTGATGAACGAGTCTTCAGGCTTCATGCCCGCCATCATGCCGACGCAGACGGCCTCCTGCAAAGCGTAAGCGTCAGCATAAAGGGGGAGGGGGGCGGGGGTGTCAGTTTGTTGAGAGAAGGGAACAGGAGCAAGATCGACAGGAACGTGATAGCAATAACATGTAGTCAAGCAAACAGGGCAGGGAAGCGAGCCGACAGAGAAGTGAGAGCACACAACCAAACTTGCTTCCCTGAGACACTAGCACATAAACCACACACGAACGCGCGCGCGCGCACACACACACACACACACCTGTCCAGAGTAGAGATGGCAGAAGCCGCGAATGTACTTGGAGCGGTAGAGCTCGCCGGCGGTGGTCTCCATGCGGCGGATGACGGACATGTCCTTGAAGTACTTCCATGCCTCCTCCTTGGTGAACTCTGCTGTGCCAGAGGGAAGGTCGTCGATCTTGTGGCCCTTGTACTCTTGCTGCAAGAAGTTGGCAACGCAGACAGCAAGCACATGAGCGAACGTCGTAAATGTGCCGACACATGTTGCAACAAACGCGCACACGCACAACATCAACGCACGCGATGACAACAGCGAACACGATGGCAACAACTCGAGTGGATGACGACGTTTCTCTCTGGCATCAATGCAGATGTGTCACCTTGGCTGTGAATGTGGCCACGTCGCTTGCCCAGCGGCGGCTGGCCACGGAGGCAAGGCGTGCCTGTCAAAGCACGAAGATGGTCACCGTGGGGAGAAACAACACAGTGGTGAGTCACGAGAGACACGCGGAACACTCATTTGCATGACTCGATTGCATGTGATTGCGACGCCAACATGTGTGCTGATGACATCTCGGATATCATCCAAAACACACACACACACACAAACCACACAAACCACACACACAAATATGCAGATGAACCAGTTCACAGGACGATGAACAGCTCAACCCATCCACCGCTCAACCCATCGCCATTCGCGTCCCTCCCCTCACTGCTGCTGTCTCTTCTACACACACGCACCTTGCTGACAACGCTGCGTGCGGAGAGCATCGTGCGAGGTGGTGGTGTGTTGCTGGCTGGTTGCTGGCACTGTGCAAAAGTGTGGGTGGTGGGGGTGTTGGCCTTTCGTGAACTGCACCTGCAATTTTCCATCAACAATCTGCATCGAATCAAAAGCCGATGAAAAGATAGTTGCTTTGCTGGCTGGTGCGTTGTGTGTGTGTGTGTGTGTGTGTGTGTGTGTGTGTGCCGTGTGTGTGTGTGTGTGTGTGTGTGTGTGTGTGTGTGTGTGTGTGTGTGTGTGTGTGTGTGTGTGTGTGTGTGTGTGTGTGTGTGTGTGTGTGTTGTGTGTGTGTGTGTGTGTGTCTGTGTGTGCGTGTGTGTCTGTGTGTGTCTGTGTGTGTGTGTCTGTGTGTCTGTGTGTGTGTGTCTGTGTGTCTCATTCTCGATCCCTGTCTCCATCTCTCGAACCCCCGCCCCTCCTTTCTGTTCCCGTTCAAGAGACAACGAGAACTCGCCAGGTGTAAGGGGTCAGCAAACGATTAACAACGCTACAGATGAACAAAGCAAGCCAGGAAAACAAGGCAGAAAAAGCAAGAAAGAAAGAAAAGAACGTAATGCAATCAACAGGAAACGAAGCAGCAGGTGTCAGCAACAACCAACCATACATGGATGGCAATGGCAAGCAGGCAAGACGGCACAAACCACAAAGTGCCGTGGCATTGCCGCGGTGTCGGGTCTGTGTTCCGTTGCCTCAACCGCCAATCAATTTTCGAGGAGGTGACAGCACTTGGTGATGTTGACCCCTCTGCAGCAGCTGTTGCACAGGTGCACGGGAAACGATGATGCCGTGACAATGAGCCTGTTGCAGTAGAAGCACGACTGGTTCGTCGTGGGGCCGGGCATATGCAGGCGATAGTCTGCGTGTTGGCGGCATCGATACGCCTGCACAGAGTGAGTGAGTGAGTGAGTGAGTGAGTGAGTGAGTGAGTGAGTGAGTGAGTGAGTGAGTGAGTGAGTGAGTGAGAGCGAGACCTACACACGCGCACGCACACAAAGACACCATTGCGCACGCACGCGCGCAGACAATATCACGCACGCACCGCCTTGACGTTGTATTTGTTCATGGGTTGATCACCGGGCCGCGACATGCTGAAGGGCACACGGCGGCCGCACATGCCACACGCGTCCTTCTTCGCCAGGCCGTGGCTGATCTGGTGCCCGCACGTCGTGCACATGCGCTCGTGCTGTCGTATTGATCGCGGCGTGGTGGTGGTGGTGGTGGAGGAGGTGGTGGTGGTGAATGAGGGAGTGCGTGTTGATGTGTGAATTGACGATGTGTGACAAGAGCAACTTATTGATGGCGTGTGATGAGTGAAACAGTCGTAGTGTGTGTCAAGAGTTGCATGCACATGCATGGGCTCAGGTGCACAAACACGGCACCACAACTGATACCTTTGGCACGCCATTCATGGCCATGATGGTCACGCCGCACTCGCACTGGCGCGCAAGCTGCAAAGCGGATAGTAAGGGGGGAGGCGGACAAGGAGGACATGTGGCACGTGCAGGGGGGAAACAAGGAAGAGTTAAGTCGGCGGCGTTTGTGCACACGTATGTGGGAAAGGGCTTGTAGAGTGTGTCGCATGTGCGCGAGCGTGTGGTTGCTTGTCTGCATGTGTATGTGCGCGCGCGCGCGCGCGCGTGTGTGTGTGTGTGTGTGTACACGTGGGTGTACCGCAGCACAACGTCACAGCACCAGCACCAACAGCAGCATCAACACCAACACAAGCAGCAACGCACCTCGGATCCGAGGGAAAACGGCAGGAACTGGGTGGGCATGTTCTTGAGGACGTGGTAGCTCATGGGTCGTGACTTGAGGAAGACAGACTGGGACGCGCAGATGTGCGTGGAACGGCTGCAGATACGCATTGGTGTTGGTTGATAGGCACGGGTGGCAGGTGTTGTGGGCGCAACGAGAGGTAGAGGGTGAAAATAGACGTAGTGTGAATATTTATAAGAGAAAATGATTGCACAGACAACTGCGCCGAGTTTGGGTACTCGTCAGGTGCATAGTGGCAGTCGGTCTCAAGTACAAAGACACATGCGCACACGTGCGAACACACACACACACACACACACACACACACACACACACACACACACACACACACACACCACGACACACACACACACACACACACACACACACACACACACACACACACACACGCACGCACACACACACACACACACACACACACACACACACACACACACACACACACGCACACGCACGTGCGAGTGCGAACACACGCGTGCGCACACGTTGCACGGCACGGGTCATGTGCCATGCAGCAGTGTACCTGCCAACGCCTGGGGAGTCCTTGAAATAGTCGAAGAGGGTGTGGCGTGCTGGCGCCAGCACCTGCCCCAAAGCGTATTCGTGCGATGCGTCCTCTGAAATGTCCATGTCAATGCGTCTGGAATCGGCAATTGCGTTCACCACCGCGCGGCACACGTCCCAGTTCTTGAACTTGATCATGTCGCCCCTGAACACAGCAAACGCAAAGGAAGAGCATGGTGAGCGTACAAGACGTTCCAGTGCGTGCGTGTTGTGTGTGTGTTGTGTGCGTGTGTGCGTGTGCGTGTGTGTTTCGCGTTATGTGTTATGTGTTGTGTGTGTGTGTGCGCGCACTAACTTTACGGTGACGAGCGGGCGGATGCGGTCGAGGAGCGTGAGCCAGATGACGGCCGGCATGGCGTCCTTCACCCTACACGCCCACGGATGCAATGCAGTGAGACAAGATCGGGTCAGAAAGCAGCAGCGCTGTTGCTCACAGTCAAGGCACATTTCCCCTTCACACACACTCCCTCTCTCACACAGACACACACGCACACAAACACACACACACACAATGACGTACTTGTCGCCGTCCTCGTTGATGTTGAGCTGTCCGAGCATTTCCCGGAATTCAATCTCCCGCAGCGGACCAGCAACAGCGGCTGGCGGTGACAGGCGGGGGGCGTGTGCGTGCGTGTGCGTGCGTGTGTGCGTGAGGGAGTGCGGGTGTGTGCGTGTGTGTGTGTGCGTGTGCGTGTGTGTGTGTGTGTGTGTGCGAGAGAGAGAGAGAGAGACAGACAGACGGACAGACAGACAGACAGACAGACAGACAGACAGGAAGAGAAGTGCGTTTGCACTGATTGTAACCCAGACAAGGCTGCAGTTAACAACGTAACACAGAGAAAACTGGACCGCGAGAGAGAGAGAGAGAGCCAACGTCAAATAAGCAAAGCAAAGCAAAGCACAGCACAGCACAGCACTCGGGACAGACCGAGCAAGAGGAGGGCGCGCACGAGCTGTCCAGAGTCGTCCTCCTCCACCACGCGCGCCAGAATCTGCTTGGAGAGATCCGTGATTGTCGGTGGAAGGGAGCGGATGCGCGCTGTCAGCGTCTCGAAGATGCCGTACACGCGCAGTTCTTCGCATGCGCACCGCAGCCACGACAGGTCCCGCGCGCCGGCGTTGTTCTGGCACAAGCACACGAGAGGTGGTGGTGGTGATGATGACGGTGAGATTGTGTATTTGAGGACAAACAGAATCGAGAGTAAAGACAATGTTGGGCACGCACGCACCAGATGCGCGCACACGCACACACGCACACTTACGCACACACTTCTTCACAACACACACCACAGACAAAACAGCACACTGCACCGCAGCACACGTCACAAAGACGAAATACCACACTGGACGCACCACGATGAGGTCCATCTGCTCGTGGTCGAGCGTCTTGTTGAAGCGGCCGAGCGTGACCTGCACAATCGCACGCGACGCCTCGTGGGACAGCGGTGACATGCGCAGCGTGTACTCTTCCGGGTGCTGCCCAAGTAGCCGCTGCGTCGCCAAGTTGACAACGCCAATCGTGTCCACACCGGCAGGGTCTTGCGTCATGACAAAGTGCAGATTGCCCACAGATTTGACCAGATCCACAAACCCCTGGAGCATTGCGTTTTGGAAACAGAATTGGCGATGAACGCAAGTGAGGTCAGAAGAAGGATGTGAAGACGAAGGATGGAAAGTGGAAGAGGTGTTCAGAAGAAACGTGTGAGATCACCGTGATGCATCAGTGGACATGACGTGGAGGGGACCTACGACAAACCGCCACGATGACACACACACACACACACACACACACAGACACACACACACACAGACACACACACACACACACACACACACACAAACGCGCGTAAAACACACACAATCACAGACACAACACATCACACCAGATGAGCGCACCTCATCGCGCATGAGATGGGAGTGTGTGCCGTCGAGGAACATGACGACAACGGGCTCTTCGCTCGTCTTGGCCTTGTCCACAAAGTCGGCAAAGTTGGAAGCGTCCACGGTCTCCCGCACCACGCGCCACAGCAGATCAGCCGTGTCTTGCTCCTCCATGTTCTGTGCAGGCGCACGAAACAAAGGGTCGCACACGCAAGGGGAGGGGGTGTCAATCAAGAGGAGACACGACAAAGGCATGAGCACGGGTGGATTTTCGGCGAGCACACACGTACACACGCACGCATACACACACACACGCATACACACACATACACGCACGCACACACGCATACAAACACACGCATTACACGCATACAAACACACAGAGAAGAGCACAAGCATTGGCCACACACAAGCGGTGTAGATGCACAAATGTGTACACCGAGCAATCAGGCCCTTGTCATTTGCTGGTTATTTACCTTGAGCACGATGACCTTCATGCCCTGTTCGCGAGCCTTGAGCGCGGCTAGGCACAGCACACCCTCCCGCCCTTCGTCCTCGTGTGCAAGGAGACTCAGGTGCGGCACGGGCGAATCGTTTGCCCGCCGGCAGTACTCAAGCACGCGACGCACCTGCCGTGGTGGCGATCGTTAGGGTGGTGGTAGTGGTGACGGTGGAGGAGGATTGGTGAGTACATGGGCATGTATGATTGCTTCGTCACAAGAAGAGCAAGCATATGTATGGTAATACACACTCACACACACACACACACACACACACACACACACACGCACGCACACACACACACACACACACATAAACACAAGACGGGGACTGGCGAACCCCCCCCCCCCACCTCCTCATCGCGGCCGATGACAGCCTCGGACTCTGCGATCATGTGCTGCTCCATGCGCGTGGCGTAAAGCTCAGTGGTGACGGGTTTGCGCGCCCGCTCTGCCGGGTACTGCCGCTCAATTGCCGCAGACAAGAACTCGTAAACATCCTCTGGGGGTGGGGGTGGGGGTGAGGGTGAGGGTGAGGGTGAGGGTGGTTGATGTAGTGGCAGTGATGAATGGAGGCGCGATGCTTGCACGCACTGGAAACATGCAATACACACACAACACACACACACACATACACACAATACACACACAACACACACACACATACACAACACACACAACACACATACACAAACCTGCAAACTGGTCGAGGCCGTCGAGAATGGCTTTACGGATGCCCTGAATCTCACGCGTCTCCTTGAAGTGCGCCGTGTACTCGCGCACGTGCTCAGCAGGATAGCGATTGTGCAGCTCAGACTGGTGTTTGGAGAGGGGGAGAGGGCGTGTGGTGGACCACAAGGAAACGGTGGGAGGTGAGGAGGTTGCTGGGGGGTGATGATGGGAAAACAAACCGATGGGCAGGGAGAACAACGCATCCAGCGCATGCACACGTTCAGATTGTACACGAGTACAACAACAGGTACATTTGCACAAGCACCACTCACACCACTCACACCACTCACACCGACCTTCCTCCGCCCCACGCCTACGCCCTCCCCTCCACTCCCTGCATTCCCGCACCTTGAGTCTGCGCAGGCCGGCGCGTGCAAGCGGGGTGGCGTCGATGAAGCGCGCGCGGAATTCGGACGGGAGCTCATCGATGACGCCAAACCCGCGGAGGAAAAACGCCGCATTTGGGTTGTGGCTGCGCAGCGCTCCTGGCGGTGTGGTGTGGTGTGGTGTAGTGTGGTGTGGTGTGTTTGAGCGATGTGTTTGGTGGAGTGCGTGTGCCACACACGGCGGTGCGCATGTGTCTGCTGCAAACGCATTCCACCTCCACTAACCACGCACACAGGTAGAGCACACATAATGTGCAGTGTGCATGTTCGTGTTCATGACCGCACGCACCGTGGATGACCTCCATATGTGTGACGCTCGTGTTGTCGACCCAATCGTACTCCTCACGAATGCTCTCGGGCACCTCCTCCTTCGACGGCACCCACCTGAACCCGTGCGAACAAACACGTGCGCGCAAAAACAAGAGAGAGCGCGCGCGCGCGCGCGCGCGCGCGCGCGTGTGTGTGTGTGTGTGCGTGTGTGTGTGTGTGGTTGCTTTCATGTGAGTGAAAACACGACGAGTTGACAGCAGAAGCAACAGAGAACGTACGCATGTATCCCAACACCAAGCATGCGTACACGTGTTCAAACACCACGCATGCACAGTCACGCACCCGTATCGCTCGCCAAGGAGGTTGATGAAGAACGGGTTCACGTTGGCTTCTTTGCAGCGCTCAAGCTCACGCAAGCACGTGCGGAACACAACCTGAAACAATGACGAGGCGGTTGTGAAGCAGATGAGTACAGGATGTAAGGCGCACATGCATGTGTGCTCCGTTGCTTGTCAAGCTACCCGTGACAGATGCACCATCACAAACACGCACACACGCACACAGCAGTCACCACACAGTCACAAACAACTACACAGCCATTGCCACAGCCACTGCAAAGCGGCGCGCGCACCTCTGGCGATGACTCCTTGGGCACGCCCCAGCGAAGATCGCACGAGACAAGACGCAGCATGCGCTGCTGGCAGAAAACCTTCAGCCGCGGGAACACCTTGCGCACCAGCACCTCTCGCTCGGCGTACATGTCCGCAAATGTTGACGACACAAACACGCGCACCTCCTGCGGTTGCATGGACAGCACGGAGTGGTGGTGGTGGTGGTGATATGGTGGTGGTGGTGGTGAGGAGGAGGAGGAGGAGGAGGAATGCGGGGTGGTTGTGCGTTGGGGTAAAGGTGATGATGATTCGGTGCGCACGTACACATCAGCATACACAAAACGCATGATGAATGCGAAGGAGCGCGAGGCAGCGAGAAAGAGAAGACGGTAGAGTGGGTCAATTTTCACATACACACACACACACGACACGCACACACAACACGCACACACACACGCCCCCCCCCCCCCCCCCCCCCCAAACAAAATAAACAAGGTTGTTCACCCCCAAAGACACAGAAACACAGCCCCTAAACTCCACTTCGTGGTGTATACATCCAGCTCTTTAGTCGTCCGCTCGTCCATCCCATCTGCCATTCTTCCTTACTTTTTTGTTCTTCTTCCCCTCCCCCCTCCCTATTCTCTCTTCTACGTAAGCAATTAATTATTATTTTTTAGTTTTTTAGTTGTTGTCTTTTGTGGCGATGCGCTGTTCCAGGTATGGAGGTGGCTGCGCTATTTTGTGATTTCCTATCGCGTTTTGTAGAGCGACGGCAGCTATTTGTGCCTCATTATGGA